CTTGTAGTCCTGCCTGTGACTTTCGCTGCTCAGCGCGCGGTACACGTTGCTCAGCTTGTGGCTCTCGTGGTTCGGCAGGTGGCTCTCGCCACGCGGCAGGGTGGGTCCTGTAGTACTTCTCGTTGTGGCCCTTGTAGGTCTGGATGTGCCTCTCTCGTAGCCCGGCTCTCGTAGCTTAGCTTGCGGTGCTCGTCGCGCAGCTCCAGCTCTCGTGGTTTCGCTCGTGGCTCTCGCAGCCCTGCTTCTCGTAGCTCAGCTCGCTGTCCTCGTAACTCAGCTCGTGGCCCTCGTGGCTCTGCTGGCAGGTCTCGTAGCTCGGCGCGTGGGGCTTGAAGCTCTTCAAAGGGCCCTCGAAACTGCGCGTATGCCTCTCGTTGCTCAGCTTGTGGTCCCCGCAGGTCGTCTGGTGGCCATGGCAGCTCTCCTGGTGGGGTGCGCGTACCAATTCAGAAAGCACGCTCTCATCGTGTTCCCCTGGTACCAAGTCGGAGTCGTGGGGTGCCAAGTCGTAAGTCGTGAAGTGCTCTACGTTCTGGGGGTCCCGTAGTCTTGGCGGTCGTCGTAGCCCGTCGGTGTCGTAGTCCGGGGTGTCGTAGGAGTAGAGGCCGTTATCGCACGCACTGTCGTCGTATAGTACGCGACGTAGGCGGCGCGTCCCTAGTCGTGCTCGCCGTAGGCGGCGCGCCTTGGTCCACGGGTGTCTCCACGACGACGTTCTCAACAACCCTTTCGGGCTGCTCGGTCGTGTTTTCTTTCGGTGTCGGTTTTTGGTATCGTACTTACTCAAGGTTTCGTAATGAAAGGGAGGGGGTCTGGACCCTCCAAGACAACCCGTTTCAGACCTTCCCCGTGGGAGAACCCTCCAAAACATCGTCCCCAGACCCCCCAGGCCCTCCAAGATAGCCTGGAAGAGACCCCCCCCCGAAATGAGACCCCCCTCCCTTTATAACGAAATCTGGAGTAGGCTGCCCGTTACGCGATTGTTCGTCGGGTTGCACGTCACGCAGCTCTTCACCCAGCTGCGTCTTCCGCAGCGCGTCAGGTCCTGTAAAGGGACGCCGTCGTGAGGGCGGTCGTTGAGGTGTGGTTGTAGCCCGTGCGGGGTGAGGCAGCCCGGTCCCTTGAGTATTGCATCTGTGTGTGTTACTAGATGCGAGTCTAGTTTCGGCATCTTGCTGGTCGTCTCCACCGAGGTGGGTGTGTCGGTGGGTACGTCTCGTAGATCATGTTGCAGATGTCCAGTTTGTAGTTCGTCAGCTGGTGGATGACCCTACTCAGCTTGTAGTCCGTTAGCTGGTGGATGGTATCCTTTTTGACAAACTGGAGTTCGTCAGCTGGTCACGCGCGCAGCCATGCCGGCTGCTCGCTGGGGCTGGCCCCCCTTGCGCGGGTGGTGGGGCGCGCCTCCCCTTACGATCGCCCAAGACGGGGCCAAGCGGCCTCCAAGAGGCCTCGAAAATAGCTCCAAAACAACACAAGAAGTCCCAACCAGGGCCCCGAGTCGGCCCAAAAGGACCCAGAGATCGTCCGAGGGGCTCCCAAGAGGACGCCAAGACGGCCCTGCAGCGCTCCAAGAGGGCACGAGGACGGCCCAGAGGGGCCTCCAAGACGGCCTCCGAAGGCGTCAGACGGCCCAAAGCCCAGGAGGCCCCAAAGAGGCCACGATAGGCCCTCGGGAGGCTCCCAGGAGGCCCCCACGAGGCCCCAAGGGGGCCCCAATAAGCCTTCTCCTCCTCGTCCTCCTGTTCGCCCTCTTCTCCTGCTCCTCCTCTTCCTGCTCCTGCTCCTGCTTCTGCTCCTACTCTTGCTCCTGCTCCTGCTCCTGCTCCTGCTCCTCCTCGTACTCCTCCCTACCGATCGGACGAAGACGATGTCGACATCACGGCCCTCACCAGTTCAGACGCTCAGACCACTCGCTGAACTGCCGCATGGTGTGAGCTCGACCTCCTGTCTACCGCGCGGACGAGGACGAGGTCGAGTTCACGACCCGTCCTTCTCAGACCACTCATCGGAATTGCGCTGTTCCGTCACTCAGCCTCCTTCCTGATGCGCTGTTGCCCAGGTACGATGGCGGGGTCTGCCGCAGGCAACTGGATAGGAAGCCGCAGCTTTCCTGGAAACCCTGGAACCTAGCACCAGCAGGACTTGCCGCTCATCTGATCATGGCTCCGGCTATGATATATCCCCCCCGGCCACAATTCTCCTCGCCCCTCTCTCGGCGGCCTCGAACCTCTCTGCCCGTCAAGCCGCCTGGCGCTCCATCTCATGGAAGCCCTCCCCGCGGCCGAGCCAGCTAGCGAGACCGCAGCCACAACCTTGCCTTGGGACCTGCGGCCCGTAAGCCCCTCCCCTCTAGGGGACCCGGCTTCCCGGATGGCGCCGGCCCTTCTGAGGAAGAGCCTCCTTCCGAAAAGCCGTCCCCCTCCCCCCTCCCCCTATCTGAGCGCGGCCGAATTGGTGCCTTTTCTCCTCCTCCTCCTCCTCCAACTCCCGAGCCCCAAATGGTCCGTCATTCGCCGGCGTGGCTGTTAAGGAACACGGTTCCCACAGCTACGGCCAGACAGGGGGAGGGGGAGGGGGAGGGAAGGGTAGGGGGAGAGGGGGGGGGGAGTGGTGGAGGAGAGGGAGGAGGGGGAGGACGGGGAGGAGGAGGAGGAGGGGGAGGAGGAGGAGGAGGGGAGGGGAGGGGAGGGGAAGGGGGAGAGGAGGGGAGGAGGAGAAGGAGAGGAGGAGGAGGAGGAGGAGGAGGAGGAGGAGGGGAGGGGGAGGGGGAGGGGAGGGGAGGAGGAGGAGGAGGAGGAGGGGAGGAGGAGAGGAGGAGGAGGAGGAGGAGGTGGAGGAGGAGGAGGAGGAGGAGAGGAGGAGGAGGAGGAGGAGGTCGACACGGGCCTCCGCGCCGTCCCACCCGAGGGGCCTCGCGGGGCCGCCGATGATTACGGGGGGGCGACCTCACGCCAGCGCCGCCGCGGCGTCGCCCGTGGGGGGCAGCTCCTCGAGCCACTGCCGCAGGGACGAGACCTCGGGGGGCGTCCATTGGGAGGCCTCCCAGAAGGGGTCCGAGTACCCTCAGAAAGTGTTTTTAAGACCCCCTCCCCGATCTCTCATGAAGGTGCCCCGAGACACACAATTAGATCGAGACACAAGTCCAAGGATGTCCGATCTTTTTCTATAGTTTCTGTGCTTTCGTCTTCCCCCCCACACTGTCCGTAGTTTTCCATATTTTCCTAGGAATCGACGATCAACTATATCTGCCTGTGTTTATGTTTTTCCCCTCATGATCTTAGCACCGCGCAACAAACATCCAGAGGCGGATTTGAGCCTAACGATACCTTTAGCACCGTGCCAAACAGCATTACTAACATATATTTGATCCACCTCCCCCCTGCAACCGACTTCTATAAGATGCACACCATCCTCCAGGTGCCCGGATAACGCTTCCCGGTGTATCCTTTGGCCGAACGGGGGGGTCTGAACAAACACTTCCTGAGGTTACATGGGGTCGATGGGTCGCGCCGCATCGCCCATCGCCAATGCTTCGCGGATGTATCGACGATGCATCGGCGATGCATCAACGACACAAGCGATGCATCGGCGACGTCGGCGTGGGGAAACATGGGGCGCCATATCGAGCCGCATCGGCGACGCATCGGCGATGCGGCGCGATCCTCCGACCCCATCTGACCCGACCCCATCTAGCAGGCCTGGAGTCCAAGCAGCCAGATCTCCGACGATCCGAGTTTTCTCAATCCGGGCGGGCGTCCTCGATCTCGGCCTCGGGGGCCCAGGATTCCAGACCCCCTCGCGCCACGTGAGAACCACGGCGGGAGGTCCTTCGCTGTGCTCGGCATCTGGGGGCCCTCGCCGGGCCTCGGGGCCGTCAGAAACTTGCAAGATCCTTGCGGCACCGGAGGTTTTTGAAGGATTTCGGCATGCGCGCGCGACGACGCGCGCGTGTGCACTTCGTCCCATGTTTGCAAGGGATTTGCGAACAAGTGTCATGATAGAACAAAACATGTTACCGCAAAGTGTTTTCTGCAAGGGAACCTCAGGGGGGGGATACCGGCCGGCCTGGGATAGTGTAAACTCATAGTTAGGATGGACATGTGGTCAGAATCATATATGATTCACATGCCCATGAAAGGGATTGATAACGCCGGGGGGGTAGATCCTATTCTGTACTCGGGATGAGAAACTGGTCCCCGGGGGAAGGGGTCGATGCCTCTGGGCGTCGACGTCATACGAAACAAGCATGACGTCGGGGGTCCGGGCTCCGGCCTCGGGACCACGCACACCCGACCCAGCAGCACGAGACGCTATACCCCTAGAGGAGCGGCCGGGACCTCTGAGCTTTTTTTTGATCCGCGGGTCGAGGGCAAGCCTCTTCCGGTCGAAGCTAAGGGAGCCGCGCACAGCTTGAATCAACAGAGCAAGAAAACCGGGACCTCTGAGCACGCGGCCGGAAATGATGCCACTGGCGGATGTGAGGCGGGGGGGTTGGCAGTGCCTGGCGCACAGAGTGTGCGCGGCTACTCGCCATCGCTAGGACGCCCATTCCCTGTGTTTTTTTGTCGGTTTCGTGCGTGTTTGTTTCGCCAAGTGATCAAGGATGCTCCTCAAAGGTCCTCGCCGAGAAAAAAATACACACGTCCGAGCGATGCCAGGGGCTAACGAGGTGCTGGGGGACGCTGTGAGATATCTCGTGGCCCAGGGCGGCGGCAGCACGCCCCGCTGGCCCCACTCCTTGCCCCACATCTTCGACGACCCCGAATCGGCTACGCACACGCAAGAATGACCCTGCGCAAGAGTGACGTTCTGTGAGCGGCTTCTTGGGGACCACGGGGGGAGGGCCAAACCCGAGCGCGGAAGACGCCACGGCCGCCTCGACTTCGGCGATCAGGGGACCCCAGTGGGCCCGCAGCAACGGTCACCCCGTCGAAGGGTCACTCTTAAGTGTATGTGTAGTCGGCCGAAGACCACGCGGTCCGCGTGCGAGAAGTCGTTGCCCGGCAGCCGAGGGTCCGGGACCGCCACCGCGTGCATGCCCGCGGCCTTCGCGGCCGTGATGCCGTGCGGGGAGTCCTCGAAGACCACGCACTCGCCGGGCTGCGCCCCGAGCCTGCGGGCGGCCTCCAGAAAGATGTCTGGCGCTGGCTTGCCCCGGTGCACCGCAGGGTCGTCGCCGGTCACCACCACCTCCATGGGCGCCAGCAGCTTCGGGTGGTACGTCATCTTCGTGTCGAAGGACTTCCTCACCGACGACGTGGCGATGGCCATGCGGACTCCGAGCGTGGACAGGTGCGACACCAGCTCCTCCGCACCTGGCATGGGCAGAATTCGGTCGTACAGACCCTCCATAACATCGTGGTATGCGTGCGCGTACTGCTCGCACGAAAACGCCTCCAGATCCACATTGAGACTTGTGAGGATCTTGTGAGACCAGCTCTCGGGCCTCATGCCGATGATGGATGCGTGGAGCTCCCAGGTCAACGCTTCGGGTTCCAGCCCAGCACCACGCAAACCCTCAGCCAGGCCAACGTGGGACTGGCCCTCGTAATCTATCCGCCACACTGCCCCCCAGCACGTTGAGCAGTGGTAGAATTCAAAGAAACTTTCTGGTTGACTGAATGACATTCTCCACCAAAGACCTGCCCCCCCCCCTCCAGGTTGCACCCACCTGCATGTACCGCCCTCCCCCTCCCGAGGCTTCCTGGGCAGCCTGAAACCCGTCTGGACAGGAGAAGAAGGCAGGAAACGGCCGCGCCCAGACATAGGGGAGCAAAAAGTGACATAAACTCAAGAGCTCGGAGGTCCGCGGGGATTTCTCGGATCGGCGCTGGACCCCACTCCCTGGCGCGCGGAGCGCTCCAGGAGCGGCGCCGCCGGCGCCGCTGGGGGACCCCATCGCCGATCCGAGGAATTTGCGCGGACCTCCGAGTTATGATGTTTGTACCACTTTTTGTTCCCCTAAGAGAGCGCATCCGGCACGGAAACGCTGAAACGAGAGGCCTGGGCGACATGCACGTGCGCTAGCAGAAAGAACAAAAGGCTGCGCCACTGCAGTGTTGCGCGGCGGTCGGCTTGACAACGGCCCGCAAGCAGAGGAGAGGAGAAGGTAGGGCAAAAGGGGGACAGGGGAAAAGGCAATCATGAAGGGGCCCTGGGACACACTAATAAAAATAAATACACACACACAAGAAAAAGGATTCCCAAATATTTTCCAATATTTTCTGCGTTTTTGTCTCCCCCCCCACTGCCCATATTTTCCCATATTCTCCTGGGAGTCGACGATCCATTGTGTCTGTGCGTTTTCCCCCCTCCTGAAATCAGCGCGAACAGTGCTCTTCTCGGGGAGACTGAAAGGTGCCGATGCCGCTGCCACACGGGTCCTCTGCCGGGGTGCGCAGGTTGGGATCTGGGCATCCCATAACTTAGTGTGCCCTGGAAACGACAGGGCCGTTTTTTTACTGGTTCCGTTTTGCCGTTTTTGTGCCGGTTCCGACACCTTTTTGTTACCGGTTCCGTCGCCGTTTTTCGACCGGTTCCGGCTCCGGTTCCAATCCTGGAGCCGTTTTCTTGCCGCTCCCGGTCGCCGATTTTTTGCCGTTTCCATTTTCAAGGGGCACTTTTTTTTGGAAACGGTGAAAAAACGGCCCTGCCGTTTCCTGGGCCCACTAAGTCCCATACTACATACTTTCAACGGCCGGCGGGAACTGATTTGGTTCTCGAGCGCGCGTTCTCCCATGACTGCGCGGAGCCTCTCCGGCGGTACCTCTGACGCTTCCCGAGGCTGCGACGGCGGAGGGCGAGGAGGGGCACCAAGAAGTGGCCCCACAGTGCCGCAATAGAGCAACCAGCCTGGCCATCGCTCGGACGTCCATTTCCTGTGTTTTTTTTCGGTTTCGTGCGTGGTTTTTTCGCGAAATGATCAAGGATGCTCATTGATGGTCCTCGCCGAAGGAAAAATGCACACGTCCGAGCGATGCCAAGCAGCAGCTTCCAAGAAGCGACTACCCGTCGACCAGAAAAGGCAGGTAGAAGCATGAAGTAGGAAGGCGGATCAAATAGATTGTGGCCAGGCCCTCCAACAGACTGAGAGAACACTGCAGAAGCGCATGGATTTCGGAAGTAGGGAGGAGCTTGAAGTAGATTGGGATCGGGGAGTTCAAGATACCTCCAGGCGTGCAACACATCCGAAGAGCTCTCCTGGCCAAAGAGGGCCTCCGGAAGGATCCAACATAGCCCCAAGACGGCCCCCGACATGGCCCCTGGACTGCACAAGGCGGCCCCAGTGGACCTCCCAGACGGCCAAGAGAGCTCCGAGACGGCCGAGAGGGCTACACGACGGCTCAAAAGAGCCCCCACACTCGAATAAGGATCGACTACATAATTGATTTACCCCAAATTTGTTTTCAAACTAAAAAAACGTAGACTGTTCCGTAGGCCTGCGGAAGGTGCTACGTCCTTTTCGTAGAGTCGAGAGGGAACTTGATTTTAGGGTAAATTAATTATGTAGTCGATCCCCTACTCGAAAGGCGGTCCAAGCGAGCCCCGAGAGGCCCCGAGATGGCCTAAGAGGGCCCCCCAGGGACGCCCAAGACAGTCCATCGGGAGGCCGAGACAACGCGCCACGACGGCCCAGGGTAATCTCCAGGAAAGCTGCCCCTCCAGAAGTGGGCGCGCGAGGTGTCAAGTGCGACGGTGTTCCTCCTCCTCCTCCTCCTCCTCCTCCTCCTCCTCCTCCTCCTCCTCCTCCAGACCCTCCTCCTCCTCCTCCTTCTCCTCCTCCTCCTCCTCCTCCTCAAGACCCTCCTCCTCCTCCTCCTCCTTCTCCTCCTCCTCCTTCTCCTCCTCCTCCTCCTCATCCTTATCCTCCTCCTCGTCCCCCTCCTCTCCTCCTTCTCCAGCTCCTCCTCCTCCTCCTCCTCCTCATCATCATCATCATCATCATCCAATTCTATCCTCCTCCACCTCCTCCTCCAGCTCCTCCTCCTCCTCCAGCTCCTCCTCCTCCTCCTCCTCCTCCTCCTCCTCCTCCTCCTCCTCCTCCTCGCTGCTCAAATGAGGCGAGTCCCGACGGAGGGCGTGCGTTGGCGGCCCGAGGGCCGCGGCGCACCCGGCGCTGAGGGGCCACGCTGCTCGAACGCCTCGCCGCCCGAGGGGTGCCGGGCCGGCACGGCGGCGGGCCTTGCCCGAGCAACGGGAGCTGCATACGAGTCCCGGCGCCGCTCCGAGAGGGAGCCACGCGGGCCTCCCCTGAGATCCTGGCGTTGCTGCGATGTTGCAATTATTTTGCCAACGTCGGATCTCAGGGTCCGATGTTCCCCGCGAGGTGGGGCCTTATCCAGATCCACCGCCCGGGAGCCGACGTCCTGGTGCCCCAGCGGGCGTTGGATATAGGTATAGTTGGCCCCAGGGGGCCCAGCCATGATGTCCATGTGCACCGCCTGTCGAGGTCTCTGAAACCAATCCTCCGGGCGGAAGTCCTCGCCTAGGAGATGTGTCGTTGCCGGGGCCCTCTGGATGGGGTCGGAGTAGATGGTGTCGGAGCATCGCGCCGCATCGCCGACGCATCGACGATGCATCACCGATGCAGCGGCGATGCGGCGCGATCCTCCGACCCCATCCACTCCGACCCCCTCCGGGAGGCCCAGAGTTCTCTGTCCCATAGTGGGCCCTGGAAACGACAGGGCCGTTTTTGTTACCGGTTCCGCTTTGCCGTGTTTTTGCAGGTTCCGACGCCGTTTTTTCACCCGCTCCGTCGCCGTTGTTTGACCGGTTCCGGCTCCGGCTCCGGCTCCAGTCCTGGAGCCGCTTTTCTTGCCGTTTCCGGTCGCCGCTTTTGGCCGCTTCCGTGTTCAAGGGACACTTGTCTGTCCTCCGGGGGAGGCCCAGGGTCCTCTGTCCTCCGGCTTGCCGCAGGCACCCGACTGAGCGTGCCGTCGAGGTCGAAGATCACAAACCGCCTGCCGGCCAGGGGCGCGGCGCCCTCCGCGGCCCCGCCGCCGCCGCCCCCCGGCGCGGCCGCCGCCGCGCCCTCGGCGGGGCCGCCGGCGCCAGCCCTGGAGCTCATCGCACGGAGGACCGGGCGGCGCGGGGGGGGCGGCCCTTCCACCCGGGCCCCTTCGAGGCATGACAAAATCACGACGGGATCCTCCTCCTCCTCCGCCTCCTCCTCCTCCTCCTCCTCCTCCTCCTACTTATCGTCCCTCCTCCCTCCTGTGCCCCTCCCCCTTCACCTCCTCCGGCCCCCTCTCCTCCTCTCTTCCGTTCCTGGAACGTTTGAGTACTTTCCTCGTCGCCGTCTGCGTCGTCGTCCCCCGTTCATGGCCGGCGGCACAGGCCGAAAGGCCTTCGAGATCACGGCGGGAAGTGTTTCGCTACTTTCGGCCACGGGGGGGCCCTTTCCAGGCCCTGGGACCGTCAAAAAGCTACGCAGCATGCAACAAAAAGCCCTTTGGAAGGGGTCGAGATCTCTCGGGGTCGACGTCTTGACACAAACCATGCGTCGGGGGTCTCTGAAGGAGGCGCTGGGGCTCCAGGGAACATGGCGGGCTTCTTCTCCACTGCCGCCACCACAAGCAGGAGGGAGAGAAGCTCCCCCTCCTCTTCCTCCTCCTCCTCCTCTTGCTCCTCATCCTGAACATTTTTGTTCCCCCTCCAGCTTTGTGGCGGTGGTGGCGGTGGTGGAAAGCGGGCCCATCGAGCTGTGCACGCGCACCGATCCTTGCCAGGCCCATCCTGAGCCCAGGATCGGTGCGCGCGCCCCCCTTCGCAGTGCGTCCAGGAGGGCACGCGCACCGACCCCGAGCCAAGCACGGGCCGTGCCCGGAGGCGTCGCCCGGTAGAAACACCCAGACGTGCGATGTCCCGATGTGCTCAGCACGGGGTCCGCGGGCGTCCCGACTCTTTCCCCAAGGCCGGCTTTCAATCCTGGATCGTCTCGACCCTTTCCCCACGGTCCCAGGGCCCGGCGGCGGCCCCTGGAAGCCGAAAACGGGGC